TGTTCTCTGCTAACCTTTGCTTATCAGCTACCGTGCCATGTTCCGTAATGGGTCAATGGGGTCGTCTTCTTTAGAAGAACCTTTCTTGTTTTGGTGTTCTCTTCTGGTTCAATCATGACCTCTTTTTTTTTTGGTTATTTTGGAGCCAAATATGGATTTATCTTTTGTAAGGCTGCTAAGAGCTCTAAAACTCTATCAAAAATCTTGGTAATGCTTTGCTTTTCGCCCAGCAATGGTAAGTTGTAACTCATGCTTTGTTTGTACTTATATTTTTTGTGTCTGCCTGTATGGTTTAAAAAGAATGGTTAACATGAGACCCAACTTGTTACAAAAGTATTTGGACCAAAAAACAAAACCATCAAAACGTTTTGGCTACAAGAACTTTGATTAGATCACGGTTCCTGGAGGATAATGAGTTTCTTATTGAGCATCATTTATATTTTGTTTTAAAAATTTAGAATAAGGTGGTTCTTTATAAATTTCTTGATCAACCCACATATCTATACTATTATTTAAGAAGTGATTTTTCGCAACGGAGCTCTCACGTTAAAAGTTAGAGCGGTTAATATCTATTTTACCCTTAATGAAAATTTTATATAGAAATAATTTTATAATTAAAAACGAAATTTAAAAAATAAAATTAGATAAGTATGTTATTATCTTAGATAACTGAGAATAATTCTTATAATTATCTGAATATAATATTGTAACAACATGATAATGTCTAGATAAGTATGTTATTATCTTGGATAACTGAGAATAATTAATATAATAAGTTTAAAAAAAATAAAAAAGATAATTCTTATATATGTTATTATTATCTGAATATAATATTGTAACAACATATGATAAAAACATACTTAATTAAAAATCTATGCAATATAAAAGATTAATAAATTCGATTATAAATATTAGATTAATTAAAAATATTTAGACTTAAATAATACCTTTGAAATTTATATATTTATATATAAATTAGTTAAAACGAATTATATGTTAGTGATTGAAATTTATATGTTATTATATTAGTTAATTTATTATAAATTAGTAGGATAATTATCCACAATCATGCATATTCAAAACATAAGATATCTTCTAGAATATTATACAGTTATCTGGAAATAATATTTTTATTATGAAAAATAAAAATATAAGTTATAAAATAATTTAAAATTAAATATTAAGAAAAAATATAAATATATTTTTAAAAATATTGTATTACAGTTTGATTTAGGTTTTTTAAAACTATAAAAAATAATTTATAATATTATTTAGAATTAATAAAACAAAAAAATAATAAATATTTGTAACAAAATTATGCCCGCATATGCGGGCACAACACCTAGTTTATAACTAAGAACCGATGTGATTTACATATATTTTTGTTTAAGATGAAATAGTATTTTATTTATACATTAATCAATATATAAAAAATATTGTCTACTGACCCTCACAAATTGGAGCCATATACAAATGTCCATTATACATGCAGCTGCTCAGGTGCTCGGGCCTTTGTAACATTGTATTAATCACAATCTTTGTACTTTTTTTTGTCACGAAATCACAATAACTAAAATCACTATTTTTATTTTCTTACTTTTCCCACTATAATAAAATGTTGTTATACCATTTGACTATTCTGGTTTTTAGTGGAGTATATTATACATACTTTTATACTAAAATATATGACCATATATTAATAGTTTTAAAATAAAATTAAAATAGACCGAGTAGTGGCCGTAAATTGAAAAAAAAATTTAGAACTGCGTAATGAATGAATGTAATGTGTAAAAAAATTAATAAACGATTAAATACATTCTATGTTTTCAGAATCTTATTTTCAAAAGAAAATTGTAGAACTGATAAAAAACAGTATAGAATTACAATAAAAATTTATAAGGGAAAGATATCTGATTGTTGAAATAAAATGACAGTATGTTCTACAACATAAGAACTTGTGGGTCAAACTATCCAACGCAAATGGAAGATATAAGCCCAGGTCCATAGTATGCAACAAATCCTAAACCCATTTAAAAGGTTAACTAAGAGCATCATTGTTGGTGTATCTTTTCTGTTTATAACATTCTCCCACACTCAACACTCTGCTCTCACTCTCAGTCTCACCTTTCTCCCTCTCAGTTTCAGGTTAAATGTTTCCAAGATTCTGTTTTTTAATCTCTAAGTAAGTTTCCTTCTTCTGATTTTGTCCCTTTTTTTTTGTTGTTGTGAGCCGATGTCTAGCTTCTTCAAGATTCTGTTATGTTTTTTTAGAACCCTAGTTTTCATCCCGCTGTTTAGCGGCCACTTGTGTGTTTAAAATTTCGATTCTAGCTCTTGTTAGTGATTTTTAGAACCTTTGAAATGAAAAAAAAGTGTTTGTCCGAAATGTCTTACTCTCATGTGCTTATGTTTCAGGCTGATCCTGTAACGCTATGTCTTCCAAAAAGTTGAATCTTGGTTCCAAAGATTACATCAGCGCCTTACCAGATTGTCTTATAAGCCACATCTTGTCTTTCGTTTCCACTAAAGAAGCTGCTTCCACTTCTGTCCTAGCGAAAAGGTGGAGATATCTCTTTGCTCTCACACCTAATCTTGATTTCGATGACTCTATCTACCTGAATCCTGAAAAGGGTAACCAAAAGAAGATTACTTCCCCGTGGATACCAAGGAAAAAATGCAAAGCTCCAAGAAGTTTTGTGGATTTTGTGGATAGAGTGTTGGTTTTGCACCAACATGTTCCTCTAAACAGATTCTCCCTCAAGTGTGTAGATGTTGTTCATCCAGCTATTGTCATTGGCTGGTTACTCAAGGTTTTGGAACATGGTGTGTTAGATCTTGAGTTAAACATCTCCTCGCTATTGGGTTACCCGTTCCCTCCAGAGATGTTTGTGAACGAGACTTTGGTTAGGCTGAAATTAGTACTTGGAGATGTTCTCACCATTGATAAGGTGACCATTGATAAGGTGAAACATGTTTTTCTTCCAAAGGTTAAGCGCTGTTCTCACCATTGATAAGGTGACCATTGATAAGGTGACCATTGATAAGGTGAAACATGTTTTTCTTCCAAAGGTTAAGCGCCTCTGTATTGACTATGTCATGGTGAAATACAGTGTGTTTTGTAAGCTTCTTTCGGGCTGTCCGGTGCTTGAAGAGTTAGTTGTGGACAATCTGTTCGACGTTAGGGGATCTTTCTCTGTTTCTCACAAGACCCTCAAAAGACTAGTGGTTGCTCATTCAGATACTTGCCGTGAGCACCACAAGAATGTGTCATTTTGTACCCCAAATCTTGTCTACCTCGTATATTCTGATACTCTCGCAGACGAGTATCCAAGAGTTGATTTTACTTCACTCGTTGAAGCTAGCATAGATCTTCAAATTCCATCTGATTTAGAGCAGCATGACATGGATGGTAATGCGGCAGATTTTCTTGTGGGAATATGTAACGTTAAGATCCTTTACTTGTCTGAGTACACTCTTGAGGTTGGTCTAAAATTCTCGGTCTTTTGTATCTTTAAATTGTTTAGCTCCTGATATGATTTGGTTTTGGTGTGTTGCAGGTACTTACTTACCGCCGTAAACAAATGCCAGAATTCAACAACTTGGTTCACTTAACCATCAAGACTGACACAGAAGTATCTTGGGAATCACTGCCGGCTTTACTCAAGAACTGTCCAAAACTTGAAACCCTTGTCTTTGAAGTACCAACACATTACTCTTTGTATAAACAATGGTTTCTCTCACACTTCTTTTCAATTAGATGTTTGAAGTTGTGTGTCTTTTGTGCTATGCAGGGCTTCCATCTCCTATTTGATAACTGTCCTTGGTGGGACACTTCTACTTTCCTGTCATCAAGTTCAGTGAAGGTTCTAAAGATATTGAAGTTTTACGGTGAAACCTGGGATGAATACTGTGAGGAGCAGATAAATCAGATGCAACTCATCCTAGAGAAAATGCCAAATCTTGAACAATTTACAGTATATTATCACACATCTAATGAGGAAAATGTGAATGAACTGTTAGCAAAACTTCAGTGGCATCCTAGAGTGGCTTCATCCAAGTGCAAGCTTTCAGTGATCTCAGATGACCTCTGTTTGTCAGCTACGGTGCCCTCTTCGGTGACTAATAAATGGCGTCGTCGTCTTTAGAAGAACCTTTCTGGTTTTGGCGCTCTCTTCTGGATCAATCATGACCTTTTTTGTTATTTTGTAGCTAAATATGGATGCATCTTTTGAAGGGAAGATCAGCAAAGTCTTGTCTCTGTTCTTTCTTGTTATTAATGTTGATGCTATGCGCAAGTTCTTGTAAAAAGTTTGCTAAAACGTCTACAACTCTAAGCAAGTTTCTCTTATTTTGAAGCCATATATGATTTGTTTTTATCCTTCAATGTCTTACTGTTTCAGCTTCTCTTGATATACACTGAGTATTTTACTCTAATCACATTGTTCAGGACTAGTTATATGATAGCTTTAGAAAGTCTATGTTTTTTTTTCAAATATAAAATGTTTTGAAAATTTAAAATATGTTTTGAGGTTTTAAAGTTATTTTTAATTTTATTGGAAATTGTTCGACCAACAAAATTTTATAATTATTAAATAATTGGTTAAAAGATTATAAAATTATAACTTTAAAACTATGTTAAAGGAATGTAACTACACAAGAACATTATACAACTTTTATAAATTAATAATATTGAAACTACACCAAAGTTATAATTTTAATCAGCTCACAGATATTACTAATTTATCGATATACTAATTTAACAAAAAATTAATTTGGAATTAAAATTATATTATTTTATAGAAATTTTTGATGTATATTAATTTATAGAATAGTAATTTAAAGAGATTATACAGTATAAAAAAACTACAATTTAGGAGGGTTTTGGGGTTAACCACTCACAACTTATACGACGTCGTTTAGCATTGGAATACTCATCCCGCCACATTGCTATCACTCACTGTGACAGCAACCATAGAAGAAGAAATTAAAAAACCCTACTTTTCATTTTCAAGGTTCCTCCCACCACCACTGACCACCCCCATGTAAGTCTCTTCTTCTTCTTAAACTTCTCCTGCAATTAAATTAGCTTCCTTTGGTTTTCTCCGGTTAGGAATCTCATAGAGAACTCATGACTGTATTAAAAGGACAAGACTTTTGTTTTGTTCTGTTTTGCAATTAGACAATGTCGTTCTAAAACCCCTTTTGGTTCTTGTACTTGTTTTAGGTTGTAACTTGTAAGTGTTTGTTGAATCTCCTGTCCGAAAAAAAGATGGAAGATATGTTCAACCGTCTACCAAACCCTATTATCTCCCACATACTCTCTTTCCTTCCAACAAAGGAAGCAGCTTCCACATCAGTTCTCTCCAAAAGATGGCGTCTTTTATTCATCTCCGTAACAAATCTTGACTTCGAGGGAGATGAAGAGAGTCCAACCTTTGTGGGTTTTGTGGATAGAGTCTTGGCTTTGCAAGGGAATGCTAAGTTAAACAGATTCTCTTTAAACTTCACTGACTATCCTGATCCAGATACTGTCACTGGTTGGATACTAAACGTGTTAAAACGCGGCGTTTCAGAGATTGTTCTAAGTGTTTCTGATTATCCTTTACCTCCTGAGATCTTTGTTAGCAAGAGTCTGGTGAAGTTGAAGTTAGAAGGAGGAGAAGGTCTAAGTTTCACCGCTGATGTTGCAAAAGTGTTGCTTCCAAAGGTTAAGACACTTGAGATTGAATCCGTTGAGTTTGAGGAAGGTGGTGTTGGGTTTGTGAAGCTTCTCTCTGGCTGTCCTGTCCTTGAGGAGTTGGTTCTGATGAATCTAGGGTGGGAACATTGGAAGTCTTGCTCTGTGTTAGCTAAAAGTTTGAAGAGATTAAAGTTTTTCTGTGAGGATAATGATGAGAATCCGAAGAGTGTTTCGTTTGATACTCCGAATCTTGTATACTTGGAGTATTCTGATAATATTGCGAAGAAGTATCCTAAGGTTAAGTTTAATTCCCTTGTTGAAGCTCATATCAGTCTTAGACTCACGGAAGATCAGAGTGCAGATGCAGTCTCTGATGAAGAAGATGAATATTTCTATGAAAGTGATGATGGTGAGGTGAAAGATATGGCTGGTAATGCAACTAATTTCTTTAAAGGGATATGTAATGTTCAGATCCTCTATCTATCTGCCAAAACACTTGAGGTTTGTATGTTAATCCCATCTTCATTCTATAAGAATACTTTGAAAGACTAAGAAAGTAGTGAGTTAATGTAATATTGTTTCATTCTTGTCTTTGTTAATGTAATATTGGCTCCAATGGCTTTAGTAGTGAGTTGATTTGTTTTTTTTTTGTTGTCAGGTACTTGCGTTCTGCTGTGAAGCAACACCTGTGTTTAACAACCTGATTCAGTTAACGGTTGAGAGTGATGAAGAATTTGGATGGGATTCATTGCCAGGTCTTCTAAAGAATTGTCCAAACCTAGAGACACTTGTTTTCAAGGTATCTTTGTTTATCAGTCACATGACATACTTCTTTTTGGTAACTTTTTAGCTTTGACTTTGAGACCATCCTTGATACTTCTTTCAGGGTCTTGTCCACAAACGTACTAAAGGATGTGGGGAGATGTGCCTTTGTAAACCTCTGAAGGATCCTTCTTACATTTCATCTTCTACTGTCAAGGTGCTAAAGATCATTCTGTCTGTACACATTGATGATGAGGGGAGTGAAGTAGAGGAGATAAAGCATTTCTTGGAGAAAATGCCACAGCTCGATCAGTTGATTGTTTACTTTGACATATCATATGAGCATTCAGTGTTTGAGTTATCCAAGAAGCTTCAGAGTATTCCTAGAATTGCTTCACCAAAGTGCAATATCCAAGTGATCTCACAGAATCTTAGCTTGTCCTCCACTGTGCCTTCTTCCTTGACTAAGAAATGGTCTGCTCCTCCAAAAGAAGAGTATACCTGGTTTCTCAAGGCTGTGACCTAAACTCAAAGCACTTGTTTCCTTTTGCTTAGTGTCTTTTGTACTCTGCTCAGCTTCTTAGTTGATTGACTGGTTTGTTATGCTTTAGTTATACTTTTTTAAAATTGAGGATGCTAAGTTTATGTGGTGTTAAACCACAAATGCTTTTCTTCTGAACTCATTCTTTGAGAGCTAACTTACTGAAGCAGCCACTGTTATTCTCTTGTAATGCTGCATTTTGTGAATGGTAGTGAGCCTAACTGGTGAGAAACCAAACGATTGAGTTAGTGTAATTGGGCCGGGCCATTTAGACCATTTGGATTAGGAGAATATGATGAATAAAGTCAGAATCAATATAAAAATGATGTTCACATCTCCTATCTCTGTACATACATTCACACATATCTCCCTCTCTCTCTATATACTTTCTATATATAGTAGGTAAGGAATCTGTTGAAGATTCATTTTATAAAAATAAATATACCATATTTTATAATTAATAGTTTTATAAAATACTATTTATTTTGTTTTCAACAAAATCCTTGTAACATATGTACAATGTAGATTACATGTGTTTATATTTATTTACAGATGCTACTAAAAGTTAATATTGATTTTGAAATTTCAGATTATAATTTAATTTAATATGTCAATACTAACTTATATATATATATAGTCAAAATATCATTATAGGGCAATATTAAGAGATCTTCTTTATTAACATGTTATTTTTGGTAAATTATACATGCAGTTTTTTTTTCTTATTATTTGTATCTTTTATAAAATTATATTTTTCCTATATCATTGGTGGATGCAGCTATGCAATTATTTTTTTTAGAGAAATTTGGCAAAACTCTTTAATATTCATCAATCATCATATATTAGTGCATGATTTAGCTATGGACAAGTAAGCTATCAAAACTATTTTCAAGAGAACTTTGGACAAGTAAGCTATCAAAACTCTTTTTCCCCCAAAACAATGAACTAAAACCTCTTAAATCTCTATTTTCAAGAGAACTTTGGACAAGTAAGCTATCAAAACTCTTTTATATTCATCATATATCATTTATAGATACAGCTATGCATAAATACAAAATCCATATTTTTCTACTTTAACTTGAAATATGTGGGTTATATACATATGGTTAGGCTTTTTCTTGTTTTTTTTTAAAATTAACTAATCACTTTATAAATTTATATTGTTGAATGTTAAACTTAATTTCATGGTATATGGATAATTTTCTAATATTTAAATGAGTAATTTAATAAAAATTCATATTCCAACACAATCAATGAACTAAAGCCTCTTAAATCTCTATTTTCAAGAGAAATTTGGACAAGTAAGGAATCAAAAATATTTTTATATTCATCGTATATTATTTATAGATGATGCTATGCATAAATTAAAAAAATCCATATTTTTCTAGTTTGTTTATCTTTAACCCCCACGAAGAGATCGACTTTTTCTGAAGAATGTTATTTGTACTTAGTTCTAGTGTCTTTAGTGTATTTAAAAAATATCTAATCACATTAAAATTTTATATTAATGTATGCTTATTTTTTATGGTACATGGAAATCAGTTATAATTTTCCAACAAGCAATTCAATAAAACTTCATAGACCACCTAAACCCTATGAACTCTCTATAAACTAGAGAAACTGGGAAAACGAAGGTGTCATACATCTTTGATCTTCATACTATATGTTTTTGGATGCATCTATGCATTAAAATAAAAGTATCATATTTTCTCATTTATTTTGAAATCTGTGGGTTAACCCCTAAAAAAGTATCGAGATTTTTCTGAAATGTTATATACATAAGGTTTGGCTTTTTTCTTGTTTTTTTAAAATACCTAATCACATTATAAATTTATATTAATGTATATTAAACTTTATTTCATGGTATATGGGCATTGTTTCTAAAATTTAAAAGAGTAATTTAATAAAAAATCATATTCCACCAAAATCAATGAACTAAATCCTCTTAAATCTCTATTTTCAAGAGAACTTTGGACAAGTAAGCTATCAAAACTCTTTTATGTTCATCATATATCATTTATAGATGCAGCTATGCATAAAGACAAAAATACATATTTTTCTAGTTTACCTTGGAAAATGTGGGTTAACCCTTACGAAAAGATAGATTTTTTTTCTGAAAATGTTATTTTTACTTAAGTCTAGCGTCTTTAGTATTTTTTAAAAATATTTAATCACATTAAAAAATGAACTAATGTATGCTAAATTTAGTTTTATTGTACATGGGCATCAGTTAAATTTTCCAACAAGCAATTCAATAAAAGTTCATATACCACCAATACCAAGAACTAAACCTTTTGAAATCTCTATAAACTAGAGAAATTGGGAAAATGAAGGTGTATTATATCTTTGATATTCATCTTATATATGTTTTGGATGCATCTACGCATTAAAATAAAATTTTATATTTTCTCATTTATTTTGAAATTTGTGGGTTAACCCCTACAAAAATATCGATTTTGTCTGAAAAATTTTATATACATAAGGTTAGGCTTTTTCGTATTTTTTTAAATACCTAATCAAATTATAAATTTATATTAATGTATGTTGAAATTAATTACATGGCATATGGCATTGTTTCTAATATTTAAATGTGTAATTTAATAACAACTCATATTCCACCAAAATCAATGAACTAAAACCCTCTTAAATCTCTATTTTCAAGAGAAATTTGGACAAGTAAGATATCAAAACTCTTTTATATTCATCATATATCATTTATAGATGCAGCTATGCATAAATACAAAAATCCATATTTTTCTAGTTTATCTTGAAATATGTGGGTTAACCCTTACGAAAAGATCGACTTTTTCTGAAAATTTTATTTGTACTTAAGTCTAACGTCTTTAGTGTTTTAAAAAAATATATAATCACATTAAAAGATTTACTAATGTATGCTATATTTATTTTTATGGTACATCACTTATAATTTTCCAACGAGTAATTTAATAAACCTTAATATACCACCTAAACCAAGAACTAAACCACTATGAAATCTCTATGTAGTAGAGAAATTGGGCCAAAAAAGGTGTCATACATCTTTGATATTCACCCTATACATGTTTTTATGCATCTATGCATTGGAATAAAAAAATATCATTTTTTTCATTTATTTTGAAATCTGTGGGTTAACCCCTACAAAAATATAGAGTTTTTTTTGAAAATGTTATATACATAAGGTTAGGGTCTTTCTTGTTTTTAAAAAATACCTAATCACATTATACATTTATATTAATGTATGTTAAACTTATTTTCATGGTACATGAGCATCATTTGTAATATTTAAATGAGTAATTTAATAAAACTTCATATTCCACTAAAACCGATGAACTAAACCCTGTGAAATCTCTATTTTCATGAGAAATTTGTGCAATTCAGGTATCAAATCTCTTTTATATTCATCATATATCATTTATAGACGCAGCTATGAATAAACAAATAAAAATCTTATTTTTCTAGTTTAAGTTGAAATATGTGGGTTAACCCCTATGAAAAGATCGACTTTTTCTGAAAAATGTTATTTGTACTTAAGTCTTTAATCACATTAAGATTTTATACTAATGTATGCTAAATTTATTTGTATGGTACATGGGCATCAGTTTAATTTTCCAACAAGAAATTCAATAAAAGTTCATATACCACCTAAACCAAGAACTAAACCCTATGAAACCTCTATAAACTAAAGAAATTGGGAAAATGAGGTGCCATATGTCTTTGATATTCATCCTATATATGTTTTGGATGCATCTACGCGTTAAAATAAAAATAGCATATTTTCTCATTTATTTTGAAATTTGTGGGTTAACCCCTACAAAAATATCATTTTTTCTGAAAAATATTATATGCATAAGGTTAGGCTTTTTCGTATTTTTTTAATAACCTAATCACACTATACATTTATATTAATGTATGTTAAACTTTATTTCATGGTACATGAGCATCTTTTGTAATATTTAGATGAGTAATTTAATAAAACTTCATATTCCACCAAAATCAAAGAACTAAACCTGTGAAATCTCTATTTTCAAGAGAATTTTTTGCAACTAAGGTATCAAATCTCTTTTATATTCATCATATATCATGTATAGATGCAGCTATGCATAAATAAAAAAAATCCATATTTTTCTAGTTTAACTTGAAATATGTGGGTTAACCCCTACGAAAAAATCGACTTTTTCTGAAAAATGTTATTTGCACTTAAGTCTAGCGTCTTTAGTTTTAAAAAAAAATATTTAATCACATTAACATTTTATAATAATGTATGCTAAATTTATTTTTATGGTACATGGACATCAGTTTAATTTTCTGACAAGCTATTCAATCAAAGTTCATATACCACCTAAACCAAGAACTAAACCCTATGAAACCTCCATAAACTAGATAAATTGGGAAAACGAAGGTGACATATATCTTTGATATTCATCCTAAATATGTTTTCGATGCATCTACGCATTAAAATAAAAATATCATATTTTCTCATTTATTTTGAAATTTGTGGGTTAACCCCTACAAAAATATCGATTTTGTTTTTTCTGAAAAATGTTATATACATATGGTTAGGATTTTTCTTGTTTTTAAAAAATTAACTAATCACTTTATAAATTTATATTAATGAATGTTAAACTTAATTTCATGATATATGGACATTTTTCTAATATTTAAATGAGTAATTTAATAAAAATTCATATTCCAACACAATCAATGAACTAAAGCCTCTTAAATCTCTATTTTCAAGAGAACTTTGGAAAAGTAAAGAATCAAAAATATTTTATATTCATCATATATTATTTATAGATGATGCTATGCATAAATTAAAAAATCCATATTTTCTAGTTTGTTTATCTTTAACCCTCACGAAGAGATCAACTTTTTCTGAAAAATATTATATGTACTTAAGTCTAGTGTCTTTAGTGTATTTTAAAAAACTAATCACATTAAAATTTTATATTAATGTATGCTTATTTTTTATGGTACATGGAAATCAGTTATAATATTCCAACAAGCAATTCAATAAAACTTCATAGACCACCTAAACCCTATGAAATCTCTATAAACTAGAAAAATTTGGAAAACGAAGGTGTCATACATCTGTAATCGTCATCCTATATTTGTTTTGGATGCATCTATGCATTAAAATAAAAATATCACATTTTCTCATTT